GCGGGACCGTGGCTGAGCCCCCAGCCTCCTGGTACTTGAGGGGATGTAACAGATTCACACTGGCATCTCTGCAGATGCACATGCTCCTTCAAGATAGATAAATCACTACCAACATCCCCTGCGAATGCAAACAGTTCCTGGTGTAGGAGCATCTTGCAAATGGCTCTGCCCTGGTCTTTGGGAAGCAGTTCAGCCTCTGATAGCTGGACAGACGTGAGCAAGGCAGGTTTCTTGCACGTGGAAGTGTGTTGTATACAATGCAAACAGCTTGCCAGCCCGAGGGTGTGCTGAGAGCATAGCTGGGTCTAGAGAAACTAGTCTGAAACCTTGGGAATTGTGTAGTGGTTAGGAGTGGAAAGGAGATGCTGGGGGCTGGCAAGTGCTGGTGGATGTCGGAGGGAAGTGGTTAACAAAATGAAAGATGCAATTAATAACCCACCAGGGCAATGGCTCCCTAGGTGTTCCTGCCCAGAGCTGTTTGTGAGCCGAGAGTGTGGTATATGAAACCGGGCTGTCCTCCCTGCTCCTCCCAGAGCCCCGGGCACTGACAGCCGGTGGCCTCAGGTCACTGGGCTGAAAGCTTGGGTTCAATGGCCACCCTGATGACAGCTCAAACATATCTGAGAGCTTCTCCTAGCAGAGCTAAGTCAGATGATGAGGGGCTGTGCATGTAAAACAACAGCTACCTAGCAGGATTTCCCTGCTGCTAGGACTCAGGAGCACTGCTTTGCTGAGCTCCCACGTATAATGTGGCCATCCTCACTAGGATAAGACATCCCCAGGTGCCCTGTGCACGTTGGGACTGCCGTGCTATTCATTGGGACAGCATGGCTGTCACACTGCCATTTAATAGCCTTGGATTGGACACAGCCAGGATGGCTTTACAGGCTGAGAAACTTAGGGCTGTTCAGCCTGCAGAAGAGAAGCTCCATGGAGAACTCATAGCAGCCTTCTAGTATCTGAAGGGGGTCTACAAGGATGCTAGAGGGGGACTCTTCATCAGCCCTGGTAGAACAAGGGGCAATGGGTTCAAACTTGAACCGGGGAGATTAGGTTGGATATAAGGAAGTTCTTTACTGTAAGGGTGGTGAGGCATTGGAACAGGCTGCCCAAGGAAACTGTCAATGCTCCATCCCTGGGAGTGTTCAAGGCCAAGCTGGACAGAGCCTTGAGCAACCTTGTCCAGTGTGAGGTATCCCTGCCCATGGCAGGAGGTTGGAACTTGAGGATCCTAAGGTTGTTTCCAACCCAAACCGTTTGATGATTCTATGATCTCCCAGCCAGGAGAAAGCATAGCCTGGCAAAAGCTGGGTACCAAGGGCTCCTGCATGTGTTGGGGAACCCTTAACCTCCTTACCAGGTGTCAGTTAACCATGGAAAACGCACCTCACCAAAGGCTGGTTTCAATTCTTGAGATGACAGGTCTGCTCAGGGGAAAGGCAGAGATGTTACCAGCTTGTGGTGCTGTGTGTCCTGCCGAGTGAGCAGCAGTGCTGATGCAGTGCTTGGCGAGGCAGCCTGGGGTACCCAAGTGCTGCCTGGCAATGGTGGGTCATCAGCAAGTGGCTGCTAGGCTTCTGCAGGGATCCCTGCCAGGCACCACCTGCAGGTTTCAGTTGATTTAATCAGTGGTTTTGAAAGGAATCCCAGGTTTCTTGAGGGTGGCAAGTGGATGTGCAGAGCAGTAAGTGACAAGACTGACCCTTCCTCCAAATTCCCTAACTAATTACCTTGCATTTCACTCTATTAAAGCAAATTTTGCTGCATAAAAGTGAAAGTGGGACAACACAAAAAGTAGACTTGGAAAGACCTTCGGCAACAGCTATGAGCCTCCTTCTTCCCTGAACATGGAAAACAAATTATTCCATCCCTCTCTATGGCAACATCACAATTCATGCTAACGCTGCTATCATTATCTCCTGACAGCTTCCAAGAAAGGGTGTCATGCCAGTGGTGTAGATCTGAATCAGTCACATAATCGTGCTGAAAGGTGACAAGTTTGCATAGCAATACCTGCCTTCTCTGAGAAAGCATGATCAGTACTAAATGCATTTTTCAGTCTTTAATTTTCTGCTGACAGAATCAAAATTAATTCTGTTTTGTTCTTTTTTCTTTGGTATTATCAGTAATCTAGAGTTTTCTGGGTCAACTGGTTCATTTTCTTAATGACTGGAGTGATTTCTGTCCTTCACTCCCTTGGAATTACCCCAGTTTTTCTAGCTCTGTTAAAAATTACTATCAGCAGCTCAAGAAGACCCTCAGTTGGGTGCATTAATACTCTCAGTGTGGATTAGATAAAGGGAAAGTGTCAGTTTTAGCAGGTGATGTTTTACACACTGGTTTGTTACAGATGACATCTAAGTTAGAGCCTTCTCCATTGCATCCACAGTGTTGTACCAGTATTTAGGCATGACAGTTATGGAAAATGGCAGAAGGCTCTTCTTACCACTATTCTTTTGTGCTCTTGCTTGTTTTTTCCTGGTGTAAATGCATCTGACCCAATGAACCCCCTCACTGCTGCCTGGGCCAGTGTGCGTGCTCATTGTGAATCACCTGTTTAGTTACGGGTTTCTCTCACCTCTGCCAGCCTCTGACTCTGTTGATTTAAAACCTGCAAGCACCTCTGTTTTGCCTGGGTTTTGGCTGGGGCAGCAGCCCCACTGACAGTGCAGGTGAGCACTCCCATGGGGCGGTGCTGGGATGCACAGCCCATGTCTGTCACATCGCTAAATGAGGCCCAAAGCCATTGCCTTGCCTGAATGAAAGTCACCCTGACTTGGCAGTTTCTCACTTCTCTGTCCTGCTGCACTGACTAAAACCAGAGGGATGACTTTGCCTCCCTGGAAACTCCCCAGCTCCTAGAAGGTGAAATTCTAGAAAAGCCAGCTAGGATGAGGACAGTGTGGATTAGGAAAGAGATGGGCAGGTGGCTGAGAGCATGGCCATCGAGACAAACATGAAGGTATGGAGAAATGGGCTGTGCAGGGAAGTCAGAGCAGGGCAGAGCTGTTCAGATGAGACAGCAGGACTGGGAGTAAAAGAATGAATGTGGACTTTGAAATTGGGTGCCCTGCTCAGCTGATGTCCTCTGCGGTCACCAGCCCCCGGGGCTCGGGTATCCTCAAGCAGCCCTTCAAGGGGCTAGCAGACCTGCTGCTCCCTCTGACCCCTTTTCTGGGGGGTGCAGTACTTAATTGCCAGCTTTGAGGAAACTGTGAAAGGTTCTGTGTTCTCCTGAGGAAATCAAATGCTGAAATGTTGCAAGGTGCTGAAAAAAATATCTTTCTTAATATGTGGTTTGCATAATAAGATAGCACGAGTTCATGACGCAATTCAGTTAGCTTCCTGTAACCAGAATGAAAACAAAATTGGTCCCTTGGGGTCCTGCTTCGCTCACCTGAAAGCTTTTTTCTCAGAAAGCCCAGAGAGTTTTTCATGAGCATTTTTGCGAGCCTGGAGAGCTGAAAACAGGTTCACAGCACAGTGATGCCCAGAATTTGTAAAGAGTCTTCTTGACACACACTCAAGGTGCCCATGCTGGGTTCAAAGCTGTTGCAAGCCAGGCTGGCAGGTAGGTTCAGGCAGACCTAGGAGGAAAGGGCAAGGAAAAGTGGGAAGGGTGCTGGGTTTTTTGCTGATTTGAGTTAGGGGAGTGATTGTGGCAGCTCTAGGGTGAGGTGCAGTTGGTACCACAACCTCCCTCCTACTAGCACTGCGATGGGCCACTGCCCAACTCTGTGCAGTCTCCCCTAGAACATTAGGGAGGTTTAAGTCCTTCTTGCTCTATATCCTGATCCCATGGGTGAGGGACATATGTGCCATGAAGGCAGCAGCGATGTGTTCCCCTGATTCCAGAGTCCCAGCCAGGACATGGGCTCCTGTCCTTTCCCAGCATGAAGGCCTCTCCACCCAGTGGGCACAGAGTGGGCTGAGACCTGTCAGCCTCGGGGTCTCCTTGTCCTCACATCAGCTGCAAAAGCCAGGGAAAGGAAAGCAAGGTGTCAAGACACGGTTAGGTCCTGGGGGCGCCTCCTCAGCTTCCCAGCCAGCAGGATGTGGTCCCTGCGAAGCAGCTTGTGGCTCCATCTAGTGCCCATGCCAGCCCGGCTCGGGCCAGCCCTGCACCCACTGCTGAGCAGATGGGCCACATCGGAGCACCCTGGCCAGCGGCAGCCACCCGAGGGAACCCTCTCGCTGCTCCTGGGCAAGCAGGTACAGAAGGGCAGCATCGCGATGAGATGCAGGAAAAAAAAAAATCCCGAACACCAGGGACTACTCCAAGCAGTTATTCAAAGAAATCAAGTGCTGCCTGACAGCAGGGGACAGATCATCCATCTCTTGGAGAGGAGATGCTCCTTGGCACAGGAGATGCCTGTGGCATTTCACCCATCCCAGTGCACACCCAGGCCCACCGATTGTGGCTGGTGGGGGGCTCTTTGCGGGTACGGCTGTCCTGAAACTGGTCCCTGGGGAGTGCTAGGAATGGCCTGTCTCAACACCCAGGTCTCCCCAGCCTGCCAGGAACAGCAGCACTAGGGAAGTTTGCCAAGCTTCCCAGCTAGGTATTTACAGGAGGTGAGGGAGATATCCCAGCTGCAATGCAGGGGTAGAGAGGGGTCCAAAAGGCCCTGCAGAGACGAGGCTCCCTCCTTCTCCCATCCAGATAACAAAAGGGAACAATATGACCTCTGTGGCCAGAACACTGCCCACTACCCCGAGGTCTGGCAAGAACAGCCTTTCTGCGGGAGGCCACGCAGAGGAAAAGTCCACATCAAAGCTCCCGGCACGTGGCCATCCCGGGTGCTGCGGGCGCTTGGGCACCGTGGTGCTCGGGTGGGCTCACTCTGCCTGCGTGGAGCTGGGGAAGGCACGGGGCTGGCAGTAGCTGCTCTGCCGGGGCCATAGCGAAGCCAGGCAGCCTGGCAGGGAGGGACCTGCGCCGGCCAGCCCAGCAGGCTGCACCCCTCCATGTGTCCCGTCCCCGCCCCGACGGGACGGCCTGGGCAAAGCGCTGAGTCACTCCCGCTGTCCCCTCCTGCTGTCGCCTCCCGCTGGCCGGCATCGGCCGCGCAGCTGAGGCCAGCGGCGAGCGGAGCCCGGGGACTGCCCCGCGGCGAGGGCCGTGCCCGGCGTGCTCGCAGCACTACCCGCACTCCCGGGGACAGCGAGCGAGGTCAGTGCCCACCCCATCGCATCTCGCCTGGCCGGTGCTGCCCCGGGCACAGCCCTGGGAGCTGGGAGGGCCGGAGCGGATCGCTGCGGAGCGGCGGGACAGGAACGGAGGTGGAAGGGTAGGCACCGGACGCGGACGGGCGCCCGGAGCGAGCCTCCCTATGACCTCACCCTCATGACAGGCGAGCGTATGACGTCACACGTCGGCGGCGCCGCGGTTGGCTGCAGCCGCCGCCCGTCGGGCAACGGAACCCGCCTCCAACCCCCGCGGCGGTCCGGGAAGGCGGGGGGGGGACGCGCGACGCCGGCCGCGGGCGGCCTGGGGCGGGCGGGGAGGCCTCGGCTGCGGCACGCAGGTGGGCACCGAGCGGCTGGGGGAACGGGAGAGGGGCACAAGAGTTGCACCGGGGAGCGGGGCCGGCCCGGTGCGGCGTCCTCCAGTCCTGCCGCTCCCGGTGTCTCAGAGCCGCTGGCCGCAGCCCAGGGCTGCCCGCTGGTGGCGGCGGAGGAGGACTTGGAGGGGCAGAGGAGAGGTGGAAGCGGAAACTTCCAGCAGCAGCGCCGGGCCGGGAGCGCCGTGTTTACAGCCGGGGCAGGGGGGCGGGCTCTGGCGGCACCGCCCCGTCTTGCTCCCGGTGCTGTACTGGTGCCGTACTAGTGCAGGGGCCAGCGCCGCCCTCCCCGTCAGCTGATGCCCCCGGTCAGCGCGGGCGGGGGGCGAGTAAGGGCTGGGGGCGCGGCACCACGGGGTTATGAGGAGCGGGGCTGGAGCGGCGGAATCCCGTCTCCGATCCGGAACGGGTCGTCCTGTTGAAATGCCCCGGGGTGCCCAGCACGGGGGGGGTCTCCGCTGAGCCCTTAATCCGCTCCAGTCCCTAAGCACCTTAGCGGCCAGAGGAGCGGGGTTGACAGCGAGGATCCGTGTCTCTTTGCTCGGGCGAGTTGGGGTGATCCAGGTGGGACAGCGCTGCGACAGCAGCCAGGGGTCCCGGCTGTGGCTGTGCGTGCTCAAGGTGCAGGCAGGGTGCTCGGGAGGCGTGTGTAGGATGGGTACTGAGCCACTCCTGGAGGACCTGTGGGGTGGCCGGAGTACCTGGGGAGGGCCGGCGAGCCTGCTCTTGCTCTCTCATGCCTTGTGCTGTCAGACTGCGCCTGGAGACCCCCTGACATTGCCTTTCCCCCTACAGTGACCTTGCGGGACAGCCTCACGTCATGGTGGACTACTACGAAGCGCTGGGGGTGAGCCGCAGTGCTACCGCCGATGACATCAAGAAGGCGTAAGTGGGTGTCAGGCATGACCCTGCCCGCCGGGCACAGCAGCCTGAGCCACAGGTACTCCCTTCCTCCCGGTGCCAGCAAGGCAGCGGCTCCTTTGAGGCCGGTGGGGAGAAGGCCCAGCTCCAGAGGTGACAATCCAGCCTTTGTTTCCTTTGTGCGGAGGCCAGAGCAGGGTTGGGCTTTTCTGCCACACACAGGCATCTCTTGGTGGGGTTTGGTCCCTTTGTCTCTGCTCTCAGGCCAGGGCTGGGGACGGAGGTAAGAGGTGGGTCCCACTGGTGTTTGGAGGTGTCCCTTCTCTCCTGGAGGGGATGACAGAGGGCTGGGGTGTGGGGGCTCTGCTGGTGTCAGGGTTGGGGGGCTGGAGTTCACAGGGTAAGGAGCAGCATGTGCCCTGGCAGGGACATGGGCCCTGCTGGCAGGAGCATGCTGTGCCCCAGGCACTATGGGGGAGCCCTAGGGGTGGCCAGAGCCTTCTGCAGCTCCTTCTGGCACCCTGCTGAGGTCGTGATGCTCTCAACGGGGTGAGGCATCACCTGAGGACAATAGGTGCAGACTGGTAGCTTGCCTGGGGGGACAGAGGTGGGGGACAGAGGTCTGTGCTGGGGGTGACTTCCTAAGAATGGGTGAGAAAAGTTGGGCAGCTGGGTTAACCCCAGCTAGCTACAGGCAAGAGGAAAGGGCTGCTTATTGCTGGGAGCCTGCAGCAGTCCCTGGTGCGTTCATGCCCATGGTGGAGCTCAGGAAGGCTCCGGAGCAAACCTGTGAGCACCATGCAGGGCTGAGACAGGCACAGGCTGCACCACATGAGGCACAGGGTCATGCCACAAATGTTTGTTCTGGAGGCAGGACCAGTCCAGAAAGCTGCTGTTTGATGCCAGAGACTGTAGGGTCCTGGATGAAGCAGGCTCGGGTGCCTGTGCCCGCAGAGTCAGTGGTGTGGACTCAGCAGGGTTGCTGGGAGGCCTGCTGCTGGAGGGCTGCTGTGTGCCCATTGCTGCCCATCTGTGCAGGTACAGGAAGGCTGCGCTGAAATGGCACCCGGATAAAAACCCAGACAACAAGGAGTATGCTGAGCAGAGGTTCAAGGAGATTGCCGAGGCGTACGAAGTGCTGTCGGACAGTAAGAGGCCATGGTGCTGTCCTGTGTGTCCCCTTACCCTTGGGGCTTCTCATTCTCGGGTGTCCTGCTACTGGTCTCACACAGGTTGCATCTGTAGACATCCCTAGATGCAGTGGGTCCCTCTGGTTTTACTGCCTGGCTTGTAGGGCTTGGTTACTTCCCTACATATCCCTTGAAACAATATTTGGAAGATGCTGGCATGCTGGCCTCCAGGATGAGGTCTCCCCAGTGGGGCTGAGGCTTGTGCCTCCTCACCCAATGTCTCAACCTGGGTTTGGGAGCAGTGCGAGTGCAGCGGGGGCTTATGCTACTCCCCTCCTTTTGCCGTTCTGTACTTCCCTTGGCTGGGGCATCATTGGTGCTCCTGCCTGTGCCTGGCAGCAAGCTCCCCGCAGCCCCCTTTCTTCACCTTCCAGAACAAAAGCGTGATATCTATGACCGTTATGGCAAGGATGGACTCATGGGTGCAGGTGAGTTTGTGAGCAGAGCCATGGCGTCAGTGCAGCGCTGGATATGGCCCCATCTGAAGATGTGGTGTGGGTCTGTACCCCTTGGGGCTTCCTGCCCCTCTGGGGATTCCCCCCAAGGACTCCCCTTAACTCTGAGCTTTCTCCCTCCAGCAGGAACAGGAGGCTCTGGGGCCAGTGCTGGGGCTCCCGAATTCACTTTCACCTTCCGCAGTGCTCACGACGTCTTCCGGGAGTTCTTTGGCGGGCGAGACCCCTTTGCTGACTTCTTTGGTGTGTGCAGGGCAGGGGGGCCAGAGCTGGCTCTGGGATAACCCTCTGACTGGGCTTGGGCACAGAGCACATGGCTGGCCCCAGTGGGGTCTCCACGTGGCCCTGCTCCTGGCTTGCCAAGCCATGGGGGCAGTATTGATGCGGGGGTCCCTGCTTTCCAGATGAGATGCTGCCCTTCTCTGAGCTGCGAGGACCTGGCCCATGGCACCACAGAGGAGGTCACTTCTTTTCCACCTTCCCAGGATCCTCAGGTGGGAGACGCTGCCAGCCCCTAGCTGACCTGGGGGGTCCGAGAACATGGCATGCTCCTGAGCAGGGTCCATCGCCTGCTTCCCTTGTGCTCCCTACTTGGCACTGACCTTGTCACTCCCTGTTCCAGATTTCTTTGCCTCGTCCTTCAGCTCCGGTGGCAACAGAGGGCTGGGCTTCCGCTCCGTCTCCACCTCTACCACCTTCGTTAATGGCAAGCGCATCACCACCAAGCGGTGAGGGCACTACCGGCCTTCCTCATCAGTGGCCCTTGGAACCTGCAGCTTGCTGCTGCCATGCTCTGGTAGCCTGGCCCTTGACTGTCTGTCTGTGTGTCTGCAGGATTATCGAGAACGGGCGGGAGCGGGTGGAAGTGGAGGAGGATGGGGAGCTGAAGTCGATCCACATTGATGGTGAGAAGCAGCACTGGAGACCAACCTATTGGGATCTGTCAGTGACACTTCCCAAGTGCCCTTTCTCTCTGGGGACCCCTCTCCTTTGGGATGGCTGAGGGGTGCTGCATCCAGGCTTGGTTTTGGGTTGAGCCCTGCTGAGCCCTGTTTGGGGCTCTGCCATAGAGTGGGTGGACAAGAGTTGATGCAGCCCTGTGCCAGCTCTGAGCAGATGGGACCCCCATCCCCTGCCCCTGTTCCCATAGGTGTCCCCGACGACATGGCGCTGGGGCTGGAGCTGAGCCGGCGCGAGCAGCAAGCCTTCCCCAGCACACAGCCCGCCTCGCCACCCGCCCCGCGCCAGCCCGTGAGCTCCTCGCCCGTCTGCCTCTACACGGACAGCGAGGACGAGGATGAGGACTTGCAGCTGGCCATGGCCTACAGCCTCTCGGAGATGGAGGCTGCGGGTCACCACCGAGCAGGTGGGCACGGCCCCGGCACCCCATCCTCCTCCCGCAGAGCCCGCGGCACCCGGGGGGGGCCGGAGCGGGAGGTGGCGGGGGCCGGCAGCCCCGCCACAGAGGGGCATGAACCTGCTGCCTCCAAAGCGAAGCAGTGGCACTGCCCCCTGCTCTGAGAATGGGGCTGAGGCTGTGCCCCTACCGTGGGGCAAAGAGAGAAAACACGGGTGTTGCTGTGTGGGGCTCGGCTCCTGCCTTCCCCAGCAAGGTTGGGGGCTCTCCTGCCCTGCCTCCTTTCTGCCACTGAGGTGGGTGGGCAGGCAGCTGGTGGCACCCCGGGGCGGGGGGGCTGCCACAGTTGGGGGTGGTGGCTGGAAGAGGGGCGCTGGTGGGGTTCTGGAAGCACAGGATGCCTGCGAGCAGGTGTGCCCTGGCTCCAGCTGCTCCTCTCTCCCTGCCTGCCCTGCAGACACAGGGGCTCCAGGCACTGCCTCCCTGGCTGCTGCCTGCCCCTGCCCATGCTGAAAGTACTGGGGTTGAGCTCTCTCTCCTTGCAAGGAGGGATCTGTGTGTGTGAGCTCTGCTTTGTGCCTTGTGTCTGTCTCTCCTCTGGATGCTGTCACTCCTGCCTGTACTCCCTCCTCCTCTGTTCCTCCCACTGCAGACCCTGCCTGGTCACCCCTGCCCTATGCTTTGCACACCTTGCAGGGCACTGTCACCCCTCTACCTTGGCTTGGGGGCACTATGCCTCCCTGCTTCCAGCAGCAGCAGTGACCCTCAGTGATGCTTACAGGCATTCCCGCCCTCGTCGTTTCCAGTTGTAGTCCTGCCTTGGCTCTCTTTCTCCTCCTCCTGGGACCTTCCTCACTCCCTCCCTGCCCCTCTGCAGCCCCGACCAAGGAGGGTTTCACAGGTGCCGTTGTGTCCCCCCCTCCGCTTGTCTCCCCAGGTGTGTTCTGAGGCTGCTGCGCCCAGGGACCGCGCACGCCTGCTCGCCCATGGAGGCTCTCCCAGCCAGGACTCCGCTTTGTCCCTGCACGGCCACCCCCTGCCACCCCCTTCCCCAGCACCCTCTGGCTCCGTGGGACACGGTGGGGGGGAGCACCACAGTGCTTATGGCTGAGCAATACCTGGGGCTGGGGAGAGATGCCCCAGGCACCGCGAGGTGGTGGGGAAGGTGGTGGTGGGCTGTAGATTAGGCTGCTGGGGGGGTACTGGTGGCAGGCAGCGAGGGGCAGCATGGCTGTGCTCAGCCAGTGGGGCTTGGCTCTGCCCCACTTCCTCACTGTAGCCCCCCCCCACTCCCTGCTCCCTTCTGCTGACAGCTGTCAATAAACCTGTTTGCAGGAGCTGCTGCCTGGGGGTATCTGTGGGCTGAGGGCTCTGGGGTCCTTCCCGCATCCTGGTGCACTTGTCTGGTGGTTGTGGGGTGTGAGATGTGTTTCTGCAGGAGTGTAAGGGGATAATGACCAATGACTCCCCTTGCCCCCCATACACACAAAGGCAGAGGCCAGGCCTGGCTGCAGCTGCACAAACGTGACACGAGAACTTTATTCACATCAAGATACAAAATTATATTTCTCTAGAAATTTCTCTTCTGCTTGAGTGACAAGGTGGGAGCACACAGAGAGGACCAGGGGCTGGGACAGGCCCTCCTGCACCCAGTACCCCCCAGCCGTGGAGGACCCCTGCCCACTCCACAACAGGCACAGACAGGGAGCTGACACAGGACCGCAAGACTGGGGGTAGGAGAGCAACTTAGGGGCGTACAGCCAACTCCCAGCACCATCAGCTGGACCTCTCCTGTGCAGGGACTAGGAGAAACAAACCCTGTCCCTTTAGTGGTGGCAGCAGATGTGTTGGTTTTGGTGCCCTGTGCACAGAGGGGCTGAGCCCTGCATGCCCGGGGAGAGAGGAAGGGAGGGTCTGAGGGGGAGAACAGAGCCAGCAGCACAGACAGCATTTTACAGGGAGAGCGGCCCCACAGGCAGGGCAAGGAGAGTACGCAAAGCTGGGGGGGGGGGGGCAAGGGGGAAGACAAGAGGGAAGGGCTCCTTGCCCTCACTGCGGCAGTGCCTTCAGGATGGCATTCACTTCCTCAGCCACAGCCGTCAGTGCGAACTCAAACTGGTCCTGGGGGAGTGGAGGAGGGGGGGGCATGAGGATCCATAGCAGCCCAGCACTGGGGGGTGTACTGAGGGAGGGAGGGGAGCCCCAGTTTGGGGGTACCTTGGTCTGCACCATGCCAGGTCGCTGGTCTCGGATGTGCTCCAGCGTAGCAGCTATGTCTATCTCCTTCACCCCTGAGGCAGAGGGTGAGAAAGGTGCTGGGGGGGGGGGGGGGGGGGCACAGGCCAAGCACATGGTCCTGCAAACCCCAGAACAGGGGGGAAGCAGTGCTGCCCTGCACCTACCCTTGGCCATTCGGTTTAGGACCATGTCAACGAGGATGTACGTCCCAGTCCTGCCTGCACCATCACTGCAAGACACAGACACTTGGACCAGGGGGACCAGCTCCAGGGACTGGTCCTGGCCAGCAGGTCCCAGTCTTGCAGCTACCCCCAGGCTGTACCCCCAAGCCAGCCCCAGCAGTACCTGCAATGCACAATAATAGGGCAGGAGCGACCTCGGTAGCACTTGTTCACCTTCCTGCAAGGACAAGAGGGAGCAGGTCAGTGCCTTGCCAAGCCAGGGACAAGGCTGTGCTAGGAGCCCCTCGCTGTGCCGAGCTGGGGTGAAGGGGGCAGTGGGCATCCCATGATGTGGCCCTGGGGGTCCGGCACATGGCTCCTCCTGCCTCCCCAGTGGCACTGGGCATGGAATGGGGCCCATGAGTGGAATGGGGCTGGGGAAGGAAAAGAGCCCAGCTCCTGAGGCGCCCAGCCTGGGAAGGGGAACAGTGGCATGACCCCAGGGGAGCAGCTCTGGTCCGGTGGGGTGCGAAGCTGGGGGCCAGGCGCCGGTGGGGCTCCCAGCATGCTCCATGCAGCAGGCACGGCTGCCAACGATCACTTTTGTGACTATGCAACTGGAGCCAGATTACTAGCTGCAAATCACAAAAATGACGCCGGCAGCTGCGAGAGAGAGACAGAGACAGACAGAGAGACAGAGAGAGCGTGAGCGGAGCTGAGAGGAGGGCGATGTGCTTGGGGAACCCACGCTGCCCTTAAGGGGCCCTGGCCAGCCCCCAGCCCACCACCATCCAGGGACCCGGAGACCCAAATAGGCACTGTCTGTAAACCCCCTGGGAGCAGTCCCAGCCCCGCTGCCCTCTCCCCTAGCTGGAGACCTGCTGCTGGCTCTAGGGCATGGGGAGCAATGGGACAGAGCTGCTCAAGGTAGGCTCCAGAGGTTTCTTCTTGCACCCATGGCTGCAGAAGGTGCCAGGCCGGCTGTCCCCCATGCCAGCTAAGGGGAAGAGCCCTTTCTCCCCACAAAAGCTGGAAAGTCCCAGCAAGCTCCGCTGGAGGTTTCTTGCCCACCAAGCTCTGCAGAGCCTTATCCCAAGCTGGCCGCAACCGGGTGGTTCTGCTCCTCCCCATGCACGGCAGCCTTCTGCCCCCCCGCCGGTCCATGCCGCAGCCCTGACCCCGACCACAGCGGCAACGCTGTCCTCGCCCATGGGCCCCCCGCGGCTGAGATCCCTGCCGGCTCCCCGGAACACGGTGCCGCGGGGGCGCTCACCTGCGGAAGTCCAGGAGGGGCCGGGTGGTGGCGGGGATGCCCTCGGCCGGCCAACTGAGGAAGTGGAACTGTGTCAGGGTGCGGGTCTCTTGCGACTGCACGTTCTTCAGGTAGAAGCTGCGCACCAGAAAGTCCTCGCACCAGATGTGCTCCGACACCAGGTTCACCTGCCCGAGAGAGGCAGCCCGTGGCTATCAGCACTCAAGGGACAGGGGGCTGGAGGACGCTCTTGCCCCAGGCTACTGGCCACACTTGCCTCGTAGATGTGGTAGAGAGAGGAGCCTTCATCTGGCCAGTAGCGGTCACACTGCTTGATACTGTCCTCGGCCAGCGGGCTCAGCATGACAATGACGGTGCAGCCGTGTTCCCACACCATCTGCCAGCAAGGCACAGCGGGTGTCACCACAGGGTGACGGCCCAGGCAGGAGGGGGGGCCAAGCTACTGTGACCCATGTGGTGGGCAGCACAGAAGGACCCCGGTGGGCTGGCACTGCTGGGTGACACTCACCTGCCAGAAGTCAGCGATAGTGTGGGACAGTGGCCCCTGCGTAGCGATGTATGCTGGCATCCGTGGGTCGTGCTCAATCTGGAGTGGGGAAGGGGGTGTCAGACTACACGCTCTTCAGGCAGGGTTGGGTGACACCAGGAGGAGCTGGGGAATACCCCAGGGGTGATGGGCAGGTTGGGGAGGGAGGTTCAGGTGCCACAGCCATGAGGGAAATGGGTTTTAACCACATCTGAGCAGTAGGGCAGGCATATCGCTCACAAGCAATGTAGCCCCCAGATAGCGAGCTCAGTCCTGCTCCACCCCAGAGTGGGAGCCTCGCCTGTGCCGAGAGCGCATCACAGGACAGGGTGGCAGGGCAGGAGCCCCGGGTGGTTACTCACAATCGGACTGGCATTAATGAAGTCACTGCGGGATGGGTTGCTCTCAGCTTTCAGCTTGATCCGCAAATGGTCATCTGGGGAAATGGAGACCAAGAGCTGTGGTGAGTGCCTGGGGGAGCAAGGCATCCCCATGCCCCACAGCACCCTCCTGCCAGGGCCCTGGAAGCTGGTCCCTGGCCACTGGGGATGCTCACAGGGCACATAGTCAGGGTTGCGGTTCTTCTTCAGGTTGGCTTCACTCTGGGCAATGGAGCAGATGCTGGGCTCAGCCTGGTAGGCACAGAGAGCTTGCCACTCCTTGGCCAGCCGGTCCCGGTTGCGGAGATGGTCCTCCATGTATGCCTGGGGCAGAAGGGCAGGGGTCATCCCGGCAGCCAGGAGGGTACATGGGGTGCTGGAGAGGGAACCTGCCACCCCAGCAGGCTGGCTCACCAGGATCATGTGTCCAGTGGAGATGTCCATGTTGGACTGGACGGGCTCCTCGCACCAAGAGGGTGTGCTGCTGTGGGAGCTGGGGCTGGGCTGTGGGGCATCGCTGAACTGGGATGAGACGCTGCTGACTCGCGAGGTCTCTGCTGGTGCTGCTGATGCCTCAGTGCGGCCAAAGAGAGACTTGGCAGCCATGTGCTGGCGGCACAGCTCCTGGGGGACCCCAGTAAGAGCCCTGTCCCTTGGCCACGGCACTGCCCTAGGGCAGCCCCAAGCGATGCTGATGCAGCAGTGCTGCATCCTGCAGGGTCCTGCATCCCATGGGGTCCTACCTGGTATTCCAGGGTGGTGTCAGCAGCACCCTCAGGCCCCAGGGCAGCCAGGCGGTCCTTCTCCCGCTGCTTGGCATGGCGCCGGAGGCAGAAGGCTGCAGAGGCTGCGATGGCAATGCCCGCCACGCAGGCCAGCACAATGAAGGTCAGCAGCACCGTATGGAAGCCATCCCCAAAGCGGGATGGGCGTGAGTAGGCAGCGGCCTCGTTGCGCTGGGGGCAGAGCCAAGCAAGGGTTAGCAAAAGGCATCCGCATGGGGCTGGGTGGGCAGGCACCCCATTCTGTGCCACTCTTGGGGTTTTGGGATACTGAAGCGGAGCAAGGGCATTCGGTGCTGCACTGATTGTCCCAGCATCCTCAGCGGGTGCAGAACTGGTGTCACTGGAGTGCTGGGTGTCACTGGGGTGACACAGCACACCCACCTGCATGTCGCATGGGATGTTGCTCACAATCCTTGGTGCTGGTTTGAGCCTGGCCAAGGCCAAGCAACAGAAACCTGCTGCTCCCCCTGCTCCTAGCAAGCAGGGCTGCTCCCCATGTCAGCTCCAGCCCGAGCTGTCTCCTCCAGGGCAGGCAGTAGCCCCATGTTGCTCAGGTTAAGTGGCATCATGCCCAGCTGGAAGTCAATGAGGGCCAGATTCAGCCTGGAGGATTTATGGCAAATGATGGACCACTGTAGCACTAGGTCCAGGGCAGTGGTCACATCTCCCAGGGAACTTCCTTAACTGGGCTGGCTCTTCCCTGCAGCCAGGGCTCCAAGGAAGGACACAGTGGGATTTGCTGGTGCTGCCAGAGGACTGGTGCCATGTTGGTGGCTGGGAGACAGGTCCTCCCAGTCACTCTCCCCAGCTAGGACACAGAGCAGCCCCTGCCACCTTACAGGCAGTGCCCCCGGGGCTCCTTCCTGGTGGCTGGCAGGGACACCCAACCTGTGCCAGTCCCATGCTGGGACAGGATGATGCTGAGCATTTGCTGAATGAGAGCCCTTCCTAAGGCCTTGTCCCAGAGTCGCTGGTGATCAGGATGCTGTCAACCCCCAAGCTGGGTCCTGGGGCAGCACAGGGATGCTGGGACATCACCGCCACCAAATGTGCTGTGGCCAATGAGGTGCCAGAGGCCAGCATTACCTCACTGCCATGGCCTTCTATTGGCTGCAAGCCTGATGAGGTTACCGGGGGAACACTGCATCGTCATCACCTACGTGATCATCATCATCCTCGCCTGGGGATGCCCTCACCACAGGGGTCCCTTCTGCTGCCTGCCGCCAACCCCAGCCAGCCCTGCAGCCAGGGGTATCCATCAGTGCCAGCACATCCTGACTCCCCGGGCACCCAAGCAGGATGAGCCCTGCAGCCCTGAAGGTGTCAGAAGGTCTGGAGAGGTCAGCAGGGCTGGGGGCAGAAGGGACCTCCCTTACAGGCCTGCCTGGGTCCTGCTCTCCCCCTGCCTCTCTACATCCCTTCTTCCCCAGATTTTGCACCAGTCCCACTGAATTCAGAGCCTGGGCAGGGGAGGGTGGGGGTAAAGCACGAGCTGGTCTAGACTGGGGAGGTCCATGCAGAAGAGGGCTCACAAAGCTGCCTCAGCCTTCTCAGCTCCAGCTCCTGTTATCTCTGCCATCTCTCCCGCTCCTGCCACATCAAAAGGCATTGCCATAGCAACGCTCCACATGTTGCTGATGAAGACAGGTTGCCTCCTTAGCCAGGCCACCCCTTCTCCACGGCGTCCTCCTCCTCCAAGGTCCCAATTTCCTTCCTCCCTGCCCACAGCTACAGTCACAAGGCAGGAGGGTGGGAAATGGGGACCCTCCGTTGAGGATAAGCTGCACTACTTCCCTTCCCCACACTGCAAACACAGGAGCCATGCTCAGTTCCCCATCTCCAGCCCCGCTCCTTCCCCCAGGAGACTGTTCCTGGGGTCCCCAGAGGAGCATGGGAGGGGGTGTCCCTCTCCAAGCAGATGGCTCCTGCTCCATCCCCGTCTTCAGCTGCTTTGCTGTTCTCTGGGGGCATGACAGCATTTTGCCTGCCTAGCCATGGTCTCTAGGGTTCTCTGGGCACAGCCTGGCACTGGGGTGCCCAGTTGGAGGGAGGTGAGGGTGAGAACGAGCCCTGCAGAGTGCAGCCCCAGATTATGGATGGAGGGGATAGAAACCTTTGGGACACTCTTCCAAACTGCCTTCAAACCCTATGGAGCTGCTAGTTTGGAAAGAGCAGAGTGCGCTGTGAGCGCAGGCAGCATCACAGTGCTGGGTGGAAGGGGTAGCTGCAGCTTTCCTGCTCAACCCCTGTGTCTCCAGCACAGCAGCCCAAACACAGCCCCCTGCTCCTCACTGCCCCACAGACCCACAGGGTAGGCTTGCTCATGAGGACCCCTGCACCCCAGGGCTGGGGCACAGCGCACTTCCCAGCTTTGTCCCAGCCCCAAGGGATGGGCACAGTTGTCCTACCTCTCCCACTCCTGTTTGCACCACCTTCAGGCCCAGCTCAGCCTCCAGCTCTGCCTTCGCTTGCTCTGTGAACAGAGAGGAGATCGTCAGAGGGGTGCTCCCCCCCCGACCCGTGAGACCCCTGCCAGACACAGAGCCAAGGGATACTCCCGACTACTGCCCACTCCACACCAGCTCTGCAGTTCAGACAAGGACAGTGGGATCTATGGTGGGAGCCCCCACTTCCTGGGCACCCCTCAGGGAGGGGAAGAGTGGACCAGGGGATCCCTGCCCAACTCACCAGCCTGTGTGGCCACATCTGACAGTGAGAGGTTCTGGGGGTTCTGCTGGATGCGGAAGGTGAGAGCAGGACCCACAACACTGCCGGGGAAGGGGGGGACACAGCATGAGACCGGGAAGCACAGCCCCCATCCCCATCCCCACCCCCCACCACAGCGTGCTCCCTCCTGGCCTGCCTCCCAGATGGCTGTGCATGGCCAGGGCTGTGACAGCAGGACCCGATGGCCCCGCTGCCCTCACCTGATGTTGATGAAGCTGGCCGTGGAGAGGTGGAGGTGCTTGGCCAGGAGCTCCAGCAGCCGCACACCTGCAGCCAGCCCCAGGGGCCTGTGGGGACAGTGGCAGGGTGAGGAGCTGGGTGCAAGGGGAGAGCCCAAGCTCCTCATGGCTGAGGAAGCGGGACAAGCAAGCTCAGGGAGTTCTGTGCATGCAGCAAGGGCTGTGCTGGCTGCCGGGTGGTCAGGGTGGCAGGAGGTAAGAGCATGGGGAAGTGTGGTGATGGGGATAAACCGACACCTCCCCCTTGCACAGGCGTGTGCACAGAGGCAGTTGTGCACACACTTGGCTGAGCCCACCCCAGCATCCTGTCCTGCAGCAGTGAGCTCTGGCCTTGGCTTGGGCTTTGGGGGAGGGAGGTTTTGGGGTCGGATAAGGATGATGGGTAGAGGGGGGCTGGGGAGCTGACCCTACCACAGACCCAAACAGGCTCAGCTGAGCATGTGGAGCCATGACAGCCAGCATGGAGGGGATACAGACCCTACACACACACACCCCCCTTGCCTGACCCCCAGCTCTCACTTCTGGTCTGTGATGATGTAGCCATACTCATCCGGTGGTCGTGTGCCCCGCTGCACCCCACCATCCTTCGCCTGTGTATAGCTCTTCTTCTCCACCACGATTGGCTTCCCGGGGCTAAGCACCTGCTCACTGGGTCCCTGCTGCGGCTCAGCCTGAGGGGCTGGTGAGGACACTGCTCTGTCCCTCAGCCCATCCCCTGGGGTGCTGCTGGTTGGGATTTTGGGGGCTGGTACTGTGGAGGAAGGGGGCACTGGCTGCTCTCCGTGCTGCATGCCCCTCTCCATCACCTGCAGGGAGAGAAAGGGAGGAGTTGGGACTTCTGAGGAATCCCCTAGGGGGCTGCCTCACCATCACCTCCCCACATCCCACCTGTGTTGTGGCACCTCCTCCAGCACCACTCTGCTGCAAACCCACCCGTTTCACTGTGGGCATTTCAGGTCCAGCAAGACCTGGGAAGGAGAGAGACAGAGGTCCTGCAGCATGCACCCCAAAGGGCAACACTCCCTACCCTGGAACAGGGTGTGTGGGCACCCACCACTCCAGTCCCTGTGACCCACTCACCAGAGCTCTGGAGCAGCTGGAGGAGGGTGGAGAGGCTGCTCAGCTGCTGAGGGCTCAGCTCCGGCAGCCCCAGGCCATAGCTGGCCAGGAGAGAGGCCAGTCTCTTCAGGGCAGCATCTGTAACACAACACTGCATCAGGCTGGATGCTGTGCCCCTGCACAGTGACCATGGGCTGGGTATGCATCAGCTGGGGCAGGTGTGGTTAAGGGAACACATCACCCATGGGCATGAAGCCAAAGAAAGGGAGAGTCTGAACTACGAGGAACACGTATGGGGACAGGATGGGGATGAAGGCTGGAGAACACGGTACCTGTCTGTGCAGGGGGTGGCTGGGAAGCCAGGGGCGCTGGCTGCTCCTTCTCTTCCATGTCCCTGTAGTCACTGGGGAGCCGTAAGCTGTGCTGGAACCTGGCGCTGGGAGGGTCGGGGCGGCCCGCTTTCTCTCTGGGCAGGGAAAGCATACCCAAGTCCTGGAAGAGATGCCCCCCGTCCATTCCTGGCTGCCCACCATAGGATGGCACAGGGCCGGCCCCAAAAAGAGCCTGGGCAGGGACCCGGCCCAGCAGCGAGGAGGTCTCGGGGCTCTGCCTGGCCGAGCCGCCAGGGAGCTGGTGAGCGCTGTCCTGGTAGCTGAACTGCAACCGAAACACAGAGCCACCAAGGTTAAACGGCACAGGGCCCCTGCCACCCGACGGCAGGGCACCCCAGAGGCGGGGCTTACCCCAGCACCGGCAGAGGGAAGATGTGGGGAGTGCAGCAGCCCCTTGCCCGTCTCTACCTTTCCAGCTAGGAGAAGGACCCTTGCCCCCCAGCTTACCTTATGGTAGGAGTAGGGGTTGAGCAGAGCCTCCTCATATCCCAGCTGGGGCAGGGAGGGCAGCAGGAGGTGCTCCAGGTAGCGCTGCAGCAGAGGGGATGGCAGCAGCGGCGGGGGCTGCCCCAGATGCTGAGCTGTGGGCAGGCCCGGGTCCGCGGGGAGCTGAGCTCGCCGGGGGGAGCCACGGAGGGGCAGGAACCTTGGATGCAAACAGCACTGGGGTGACTCACCTGGGTATGGGGGAGGCCCCTCCTCCAAACCCTATTTGAAGGGCAAAGCCCTAACTGTCTTGCTCTGCTCGTAGGCCAGTGGCTGGCACTGCCCTACCTGTCCCTGGCCGCTGGCTCCAGTGAGGGCGGCAGGCGGATGCGGGGAATGCGCTCCATCTCCTGCGAGATCACGTACTGGGTGATGCCATCCTGCCAGGAGAGCCCTGCCATGGGAAGGGGCTGTGAGACACAGAGGAGGCCTGGGAACCATGGGGTGAGTACATGGGAGGCCACCATCATGTCCTGACCCTGTATCACATTGCCTGGGTTTGACACCGCTCCTGCTAGAATCAGCTGGACCCCAGTTCAGCCCAGCCTGGCCCTTGGGGCAGTAGGACCCCAGCAATCCTACTTGCCACCCAGCAATGCTGCCTGACACCCCCTTCCCACCGTACTCCCCCTTTCACCTTGTGCCATGAGATGCCGCAAGACATCCTGAAGGCGCTGGAGCACAGGAGAGGTGACTTGAAAGTAGGGTCTGTCCTGCACAGAGCCCACCTGGCACTGCCCAAACAGCCCATCTGCAAGAGAGGGAGGCAGTGGAGCTGGATGGATGAACACCCCTGGGGTGGGAGTCTTTGGACACGGTCCCAACCTTTCCCTGGCATGGCCCGCCCACATTGGACCCCAATTCACCTGCAAGGCAGCCCTGCATCCTCCCCCATCCCCTTGGGAAGGAAGAAGGGATCCCTGCACCCCTGCTAGCCACCTACCCTGCACGCACACCTCCTGGGGGGAGCACAGCCTCCGGTCAAACAGGCAGCCTGGGATGGACAGACAGACACACAGGCCAGTCAGCACTGTGCCCAACGGGGTCTACAGTGGGGTTTGCTCATCACCAGCTGCTTGGGGACCCCCACTCCCCCAGGGAAGTGCCACGGGGGAGCAATGTAGTGATGGGGGGGGCACAGCCTGGTAGCCACAGGCAGGGCCTCAGTGCCAGCCTCTCCCACTCATACCCAAGATGGGGGCTGCGTACAGAACCTGTCTAGCTCTAAGGACAGGAGGAGGCCTGGAGTTTTTTGGGGTGCCAGCAGTTAGGAAGGGAAGGCTGAGGGGACAGAGTCCCACAAGATCGTGTCTGTTGCCCTCCTACATGAGGCACTACGAGGCAGGGACACAGCCCCGCACCTTGTGACACCGGGGATCCACCCTCCCTGCAACGGGGGGCCCAAAGCAGGCAGGCAGCGGGAAGGGGTTGCCTCTCCATCCCCTTCGGGGGGCAGCACTTAGGCAGGGGGCGGCTTCCCCCTTCCTCTCTCCCCCCCCGTCTCGGTCCAAGACCGTCAGCAGCGAGACGGCAGCAGGCGATGACTCAGCCCCGGATGGCAAAGAAGGAACGAGAAAACAACCGGGGGGAGGGGAGGGAGGGGCCCGCGAGCCCGCCGCGGGGGAAGGGGGCAAGTGGGGAAGGAGGTCCCTGAGACCCGGCCACCCAGGGGCCAGTCCCCCGGGGCAGGGGCCAATGCAGGTTCGGGTACAGGACCCCGCTACCGAGGACGGACCCCCGGGCGCCGACGGGAGGGGCGGGTGGGGGGCCGGGCCGGCGGGGCAGGGAGGGCGCTGTCCGCGGTGCTGAAGCGACGCAGTAGCCTCCCGCCGGGACGCTCCGCTCAGCTCCGCCGGGAGAAGCGGCACCGATCCCGATCCCGGGAGGCTTCCCCGGGCAGGACGGGGCTCAGCCGCAGCCGATCCGGCGCCGTTCCCGCCTGCTCTAGCAGGCGGCTGGGCTCTGCAGAGCTGCCGGACCCGTCCCAGCGCTCCTGGGCCCGCTGGAGGATGAGGGGATGCAGCAGTCCCGGGCGCCCGGTAGTGAGTCAGCGGCCACCACCGGGACCGTGCCGTGCGGGGGGGGGGGGGGGGGGGGGGCTGCAGCCTTCCTACCCGTCGTGGCACCCGGATCCCCGGGGAGACACCGCACGGGCCGACCTGGAGGACAGCAGGTGCACCAGCCCACCCTTGTGTCCCGTACTGGGCCGCGCTTGCCGGCAACGGGCGGCTAAAGAGCGCCGGGGTCCTGGAGGAAGCCGCCGCTCGGGGCCTCTGCCTGCGGTTCTCCATTCCTGTGGCAGCCCCAGACACCGGCTTTGCTCCGGGCAGGGAGTCTGAGAGAGAACCGCCCTGCTCCTATCCTGTCCCACCGGCCCCGGTGGCGTCAGAAACTCCGCAGCCGCTGGGGTGCCCCGAGGCCAGTAACATCAGCAGACCCGGGAGAGTGGCGCCCCCCGGTGCCAGTGCCGCATCCGCCGTGCTGGTAACCAAGACGCCTTCTCCCCCTCTCCACCTGGGCCAGGCCTGCCACTGTGGCCGTATCAGCATCCAGGGCAGCGGTAACAGCACCGGCCGCGTAGCTCCCTGCCCTGCAGCCGCTCCGGGGAAACGCCCCCCACCCTTCGGGGCGCCGCCCTGCCAGGGGTCCCGGTCTCACCGTGCGCGGCGGTAGCGGAGGCGCCGCCGTCCCACAGTAGCCCTCGGCCGGCCAGGAGGAGAAGGCAGAAGAGTGCCCGGAGGAGCCGCCGCCCCATGCTCCGCTCACGGCCGCACCATGGCGCACCCGCCGGCCGCGCCCCCGCCGCCGCCGCCAACCCGCGCCCCGCCGAGCCGCGTGCCCCGCCCACCGCCGCCTCTCCGCCAATGGGACACGGCCCACTGCCGCCGCGACACGCCCCTCTGACCGAAACCAATCAGAGAACTGCGCTTCTTTCCCCCCACTTCGGGCTCACGCCCCCCAGTTATCGAGCGAGGCCAATGATGTCGCGCCCCTGGGGTAGACGGCCGAGGACTGCGCCAATCGCAACCTCCCTGGAGGCGAGCCACGCCCACCGGGGGGTGCGCCGCCGCGCCGGCAGCGCCTCCGCCAGTCACCGCCCCCACCAATCACCGCCTGCCCTTTCCCAGTCTTGTGGTCCCATTGGCTCCCGCGCAGGCCACGCCCTTGAGAAGACACCAATGAGCAGCAAGCAACGGGCCACACCCTCTCACCCCTCCCCATCGACATGGACCCAGGGCAAGCAGGAGGGGAGCAGCAGACCCAGGGCACCTGGAGGGTTTGGACAGGGCCCTGGCAGAAGCAAGCAGCTGCAGCTTTGGGGCTGACAGCAACAGATAGGGCCCCTCCCTACACCCCTGGCCATGGCAGGGCAGGCTCAGTCCCCTATTATTCCTCTGGGCATGGAGACAGCCCCAGCACTGCAGGAGGCACGAACCATCCTCCCCCTGCCTCTCACAGAGGAAGGAAGGCTGTGTTCTGCCTGCTCAATAGGACACCTGGTGCCCTCCACCCAACATGGTGCTGGGGAGGGCAGAAATGGGAGCTGTGGGTGTTCTCCCCACATGCATCACCCCCAGCCCCAGCTGCACTCAAGAAATCACTCGCTGGTGATGCAGAGAAGCTTTAATGGCCCCAGGGCTGAACCCCAGCTGCTCCCTCCCTCCCTGCCGTGCTCAGTCGACCACCAGGCTGCTGCTGACTGCTGGCAGGAGCTCGAAGAAGCCCTGGAAGGAGACAAGCTGTCAGGGTGGGGCTGGGCAGGGCAGCATGGGGCTGGGGGACAGGCAGTGGCTCTCTGCCAGGTTACACACACGCAGGGCATCACAACAGGCAGCTACGCACAGAGAGCAGGACCACGTCGCCATAGAAACCCATCACTGACTCAAGGCTAGTGCTGGTTGCCATAGGAACCATTTGGGGACGGCAGCCATCAGGGAGGGCTGAGATGGCTGGGCTCAGCCCCAAGGCGGGGGCTGGATGAGGACATGGGGATGCAAAAGGTGTAGAGCAGCAAGGAGGAGGCTTCAGTGCAGGACAGGGAACCTGGAGCTCACCTTGAAGAGAGTGATGCTCTGGAGCACGCCCGAGGTGCAGCACATCTCCCTGATGGAGTGCATGGCGAGCTGCGGGCAGCCAATGTCCAGCACGCGCAGCCCCAGGCGGGAGGCCAAGATGGGGCCAATGGTGGTGCCGCAGGGTGTGTCATTGCGCACCATAAACTCCTGCATGGGGACATGGCCTCAGCAACGCCCCAGGCTGCCCACAGCCTCCCCCAGGCCTGAAGGAGGCAACCTGGGCCGGGAAAGCAGCACCACCCCAAAACCAGGGTGCAAAATGCCCCAGAGATGGGACATGTTCCCTGAGACAGCCCCGGAACCCCAGAACAGTGGGGACGGACAAGGTAACTGAACACAGGGGCAGGGCTGTGGCCCAAGCTGGTAACATCCACGGAGGGCTTCCCCAGCCCCACTCACCTGCAGAGGGACACCCACACGGGCAGCAATGTCCCGGATGATGGCTTCAGTGACAGCAGTGGAGGCGTAGCGCTGATTGCTGTTCACTTTGATGACGGGGCCCTGCACAAGGGAAGGCACCACAGGCCCATGATTGGCACTGGGGATAAGCAGTGGCTCTGGAAACACCCGTCCATGCCCAAGCAGTGCTGTCCAGCCCCAACCTAGCAGCAGGGAAGGGCTCCTGGGTCAGGGCTATGGTCCCATGAGATTAACACCAGGCACGCAGCATGGGCAAATTGTGCTGTAGAGCAAACGTCTCCCATTTGAGTGCCACTGAGTTGCACCCCAGGGCTGTGCTCCAGGGAGTGGCTGAACGTTTCACAGCACTGCAGGACAGACAGACAGACAGCTCCCAGCCCAACCCAAAGCAGAGGTTTGCCTTCACCTTGTGGAAAGCTGGACGATGATTCTCCTCATGCTTGTCCCTGCAAAAGAGAAGCAGGAGTTCTGTGCTACAGATCTCCCTCCCTGATGCAAAAAGGACTCCTGTCTGTATCCCTGGGGAATGACAGGACAGGCCCCCCCAGCTGGCAGGGGAGGTTGCCACAGCTCACCGCACTGCTCAGTACTCACACGTAGTTGGGGTGCACTGCATGGGCCATATCAGCACTAATCATGTAGGACTTGGCCACAGCCTCCTCAAAAGCTGTCAGGTTCTGCGGTGATGATGAGATCCGGCGCAGCACCAGCTCTGTCAGCAGGGACTCTGCGCCCTGTGCGCTCTCTGACCCTACCTGCCAAGGACCACCATCAGAACAGCACAAACCCCCAGCAGCCCAGAGTCAGCTGAGTGACATGGGGCTCCCCAAAGCCAGCAGAGCAGCCTCCAACCATACTCCAACCCCCACACCCTGCCTAGGCCATGCTCCACAGGGGGGGTAAGCAAACCCCCACCCTCGCCCCACTGGGATCTATCTCATGCTGGGCATGACTAGGGAAGAGCAAAGAACTTTGCCAGCCATCCACTGCTGTGCTCCTCACTCACCTCCTCGTTGTCATAGAGTGCAATGAGACGCACGTTGGGCTCCTGGGAGAGGGAAGAGGGTGCTGCACATGAGTCAATCAAGGCCTGCAGGGGTACAGGAGAAAGGACTGTACCTGAGCCTGAGAGCCACCTCAACTCTGGAAGCTTATCAGTGAGCCAGTAGAAAGTTCCCCAGCAGTGCACAAAGCACCAAGGAATGGAACTTTAGGCACGCACATTGCCCAGCGAGAGCAGGACTCTCCCCTGGGTACTGCTGGGAACCCCACACACCCAGCAAAGCAGGCAGCCCCCATCCCACCCCAGATCCTTCAGCAGGCCAGACCCATCCCACAGGAACACATCTCCCTGCAGAGCCTCAGGCTGACTCGTGGCTCCAATAAGCCAAGCCAGAGTGCACACGGGCCATGCTGTGGCCTCCAGCGTCCTCTCCCCTTGTGCTCACCTGCAGGGCGCAGTAGCAGCTGTGCAGGTTGTCCAAGCGTGGGGAGAAGATGAACTCCTCAAAGGCACCACCCAGTGCCTGCAGGCAGAGAGCCAGGAGGAGCAGAGCTGTGTCACCAAACAGTACCTACCACTGGGTCCCCATTCCAGCCCCTCTTCTCTGCCCCCCCAGGAGCTGCCTCTGCTCATTGCGCTCAGCTCCCAGCCCTGGAATGCCCCAGGCAAAGGAAGCATGCCAGGTAAAACCTGTGCAGTGCCAGCCTGCAAGCTACATGCAGGCAGAGGGAAGCTCCTGCCCTTACTCACCGCTGGCTGTGTATCCGCCAGGCATAGTTCCAGCTCCACAATCTGCTCTGGTTTCACCCCCAGCTGGGGGCAGAGCAGGGACAGCAGGACAGGGCTGTGCCGTTCTGCCTGGGAAGAAAGCAGAGCTGCCCATCAGGCAGGCAGTGGATGGCAGGGAAACCCCCTGCTTCCTGTGGCAGAGCTGTCCCACACTGCACCTAGGTTGGCCTGGTCCTCCCTCCTACTAATATGTCCTACGGTCAAGCTGCCACACCACACAGGACACCAGGGCCACTGGCATTGCTCAAAGAGGTGCTCTCTGCACCCTGTGCAATCCCCCTTCCCTGCGCAGGGTGTCTGTGACAGCTTTATGGGGGCTGCACCCTGTTCTATAGGATGACTGCAAGCCAGGGTGGGAAGAGATTGATGGTTGAGCAGACAAGTGAAGTACCCAGCGCTGGGGCAGAGTGGAAGTATACTAGCAGGCCATAGGGAGAAGGAGAACCTGCTGGCAGGTCCCTGAGGGCTAGAAAGCAAAGGTGTCAAGTGTGAGGTCCTAGCAAGCACCCTTGCTAGTCCTTTGCACCCGACTCACCTGGGACGCAGCACTGCAAGGTGTGGCCTCCATGAGGACCTCCTTTTCCAGCTCCTCCTGCACAGCAGTAGCCAGAATGGGAACCCTGTGGGGAGACGGTGCTGTTAGCTGCCAGGGCTCTGCTCACATGTTGGGTCACACACAACCAACCATTTCGGTGGTGCTTGCCTTGCTCCTCCAGGGGGCGATTGCCACACCAAATGGAGCAAGGACACACAGCATTTCAGGCACATATCTATTGTGCCACCTTAGGACACCCCAGTGTCCTTTCCCAAGTCCCAAGCTTGGAAGCATCTCCTGGGAGAACTCTACAGGGCTAAGAAAAGCCATTGCAGACCTCCCCACTGTGACAAGCAGCTGCCAAAGGGAGAGAGCTGAGGCTGGGTACTGCTCCAGCTGGGTCGCAGCCCTCCCATGGGCTAGCCAGGGATCAGGGCCGAGGCAGGCCTTACAGGTGGTGTTCAGTGTTGGGCCCGAAGTTCTCATTGATGTTGCGCTGCAGATGGATGGCCAGGTGAGGAATGCGGAGGACGGGCCGCTCCACACGTACCAGGCGGTGCTCCAGGCGCCCTGTGACTGGGTCCTGAAACACAAGGAGGGGAGGCTGAGGCCAGGGCTGAGAGGCTGCAGTAGGTCTCACTCTGGGTGGGAGTCACAGACACAGAGCTGGCCCACTGTGCCTGCCCCAAATCAGCTCACCTTTATGATCACCCTCCCGGCCACGGTGAGGTCACGGTCAAACCACGTGTTCCAGATGCCCCCTCCATAGGTCTCCACACCAACCTGCACCATGCCCACCTGCCCCCGCTTCGAGCACCGCTTCACCTGGATGACAGCAGAGGTGTCACATTGGCACTGCAAAGCCCCAGCGCTGGGTAACTGGTTGGGACCAGGCAGAGCACACCCAGAGTCTCATGGCTGATCCTGCCATTGCTGAGTGCTGTGATGTGCTTTGCAGGACAGGACACTGAGGTGACAGCAGCAGGTGGAGCAACGCAGG